ACTCACCTACCGCACCTCCATGCACAGATGGAAACACCCCTGCTGTGAACACACACGTGGACCCAGATACACCTGGATATACTCCCTCCTAACACATGTGCACATGGTGAAACACACAAGCACCATGACCCCCTCCCCACTACCTCATGCACATCCTACCACTCCTGATGCACGTACACATGCAGACAGCTTAATATTCCCAGTACCTCCTGCTCTCACCGCACCCTGACACCAGTGTGCACCTTGACACGCTCCCGGTGCCACATCCATAGGGTGAAACGGTGAGCTGCCCCCTGCCATCACAGATGCACCCCCTGACAGCTGTCATGCACACCTACATGTGCACCCCCTACACATACACACTACGTCTTTCATGCACACCTACATGTGCACCCCTACACGTACACACTACATCTGTCATGCACACCTACATGTGCACCCTCCTACATGTACACTCTACACCTGTCATGCACACCTACATGTGCACCCCCCTACACATACACATTAACTGCAGTGAAGATCAGACAGGATCTCTGAGTCTCTTCCACTCAACCTGAGCAGAGGACCCAGGCCCAGCATTCTCCTTTGCCTGAGCAGAGGTATAGGGTGCCTAAACAGGACCAGGCTGTAGCACCAGCACCTAGCATCAGAGAGACACCAGGCAGCAGCCAGGCTCAGGGAGGGTGGTGAGGCTGGGACAAGTGGGAGGAAGCAGTAGGACTTTCCTGGAGGGGAAGAAAACCTGTGGGTGCTGGTGTAGGGATTCACAACGTGGAGGAAAGTCCATGTGAGGGTTGGGCCCTGTGGTTGCAGAGGCCTGAAGGTTGGGGTCATCCTTGGCTCGGCCCCCAAGTTCCCTTTGTCCTGCCCTAACCCACCGTGCCCCTCTTTCAGCAGAGGGAGCTATTAGCAAGGGTGACGCCGGGGCACTAACTGCTCCGTGCTGTCCCGGGCTCTCCACACTCCTGGGCTCAAGCAGGGTTCGGTCTTCAGATCTGGAGCAAGGCGCTGCTCATTTGCCTTCCTGCCTCACCCCAAAGGATTCTCACTGCTCCTCTCTCCGATGCTCACTCTGCCCTTCCTCCTTTCATGCTGCGTAATGAACGGCAGGATGGTTCTGGCTGAAGTTCTTCCTTCCCCCGTGTCCTGATTTCCCACGGTGGCAGGCCACTGCCCCCACCTTGCACTGTGCAGCCCTCCCTGCTCTTCCATGCCAGGCCTGCTTTATGCTTCTTTCCTGGCCCACCGCCTGGGCTAGACCCACACACAACTCTCTGCCAAGGACTTTCGGACCTGCAGAGCTCCTTGCTGTTGTATCCTTGGACCCTCCTGCTCTAGAGATCAATCTCAGTCCTCCTATTTCCAGCGCAGTTTCTTCCACTCTCCCATCTGGCCTGTAGCACCGCGTGCTATTCCAGTCCTTAGTCTCTTATGACAACAGGCTGCCGGTTGCCTCGGACAGTGCCTGATTCTTCATTGCCAGCTCCCATGATTGTATCGCAAGTTTTGCAACGCATCTCTTTTTTCCCCTTAAAGCTCCAGGTCCTGGAATCCTGTGATCAAGGGAGACCTTCAACTTTCACTGGTGGATGAGGGTGGGGAACAGTCCCCTTTTGGACCTTGCAGTGATAAAAGCTGAAAACCTGTGACCCTACAGCTGCAAAAACCAGGAGGCTGGTGAAAAATGAGCTAAAGTGCTATCATTTTTGCAAATCTCATGATCCCTGAGTCAATCTTGTAGCTTTTTGAGCCTGCCTAATGCTGTCTGAACCTCCTGCCAGTTGCAATGCAGCTTTGCTGGGGGATAAACCAAGTCTGCTCTGCCTGTCTTCTCTTCCAGCCCACATCCAGTGATGTGCCAGGTGTTCAGAGAGGAAAGGCTCCTACGCTGTAACATGGCTCATCTTCATACCTCCGAGCCAAAGCATTTTCAGTACATCTCCCGCAGCTTGGAATTGGGAGTTCCCTGAGGATATACACAGCACTTTTTCATAAGGTTATAAAGGCTTTCTTCAATTCTGGCCCAAGCCCCCAGCTAGGAATAAATCGGCCGGCCAAAAAATGCTGCTCTCATAGCAGATTCTCCCATCTATTTCTGTTCCTCCTCCACTTTCCTCAAGTTCTTTCACTAAATCATACAGAACAGCAGTCACTTCTCATCTTGAAGGATTTCTTAGGACTTTCCAGAGCGACTGTATGAAAACTAGTACGTTGTCCCCTTTGGGGTGGGGTAAGAAGCAGTTTTTAGGAAAATTGGATACGGGTGGTGTGGCAAAAATTGTCCAGGGGATTTAGGTCAGCAGAACAGGGTGATATTGCAACTTGACTGGTTGTGGATTTTGTGTGGATGACAGAGGGTTCACTATTCAAGGTCTGATTCAAGGCTTATGGCTTGTTAAGGAGACTCCTCCATTCTTGCAGAGAGGACACCCCATCTTTTATAGGAAGCACCATGGGCTCATTTACCATCCCAAATGATCTGGACTTTGGCCAGGCCTCTCCTCTAGAAGATGTGCACTGAGATGCCTCCTACTATCAGGCTGGCCCAGTGGGTCCAGTACAGGTCCAGAATGAAATATCACCCGCCGGCTGAATCGTGAAGCACCGTCCCCCACAGCCATCGTCTCCCCACATTTTCCCCTCGGAGGACAGCACACAAGAAACTGGAGAGCTCCTCCCAGGGGTGACACAGCTCCCGGTTTAGCTGAGCTGAGCTTTGCCCAGTCTACAACCAGTGGTGTCCTATGGCCACGAGTCACAGCTTCCTTGACAGTGCCAAATAATTGAGGAGAAGAGTAGGTAGAGCCCCAGGCAGGAAGTTTCACTCCAGGCCTGGATATACCTGGAGCTCAGGGGCTTTCTGGATTCACCCCTGTCATAATAGACTACAGACTTGAAGGCGTCTCCAAGGGCTCTGTCTCCTGGTCCCTCTCGCATCCTAGGGTGGCATCTGGGCAGTGTAGGGCCAGGTGACTGGGTGCTGGCTGAGGAATCGCTCTGAGCTCAGGGTGCTTGAGAAAGTTCCTCTGTGTAATTCGGAGACTGAGACCAACCACAGCTACGTGGCAGCCCCTGGGCTCCTCCAGCTCTCCCGAGATGTCCTGCCCTTCAGCTCCCAAGAAGACACTGGGTGTAGCCTGTCCCCCTCACTTGGAGTGAGTATAGTAGGAAGCTCAGAGCCTCCCCTTTCTCTGCCTCTAGAGACTGATTTCTCTGTGCTAGTCAGAGATGCCCACCATGGCTGGACTCCGGCCAAGGCCTTTGGACCAAGGCCAGCGCCCACTCTGGAAACCAGCCACCCCTTCTGGGAACCTGGAAGCTATAACTTATCTCCGCTTCTCTCCCCAGTTCCTTTATCTTTGATTATTTTTTCCAAGCCCAGCTTGTTTTTCTGGCCACGAGCAGTATCAGGAAATGAAAGACACTTTCAGTTCTTTGCTCCCTGCTCCCAGCGATGCCTGAGTCCGTTGTTTGCTCCTGACTCTATGGCCTGCTCTATCTTAGGCCAAGACAGTCAGTCTGATAGGCATGGATGTTTCTGTGCCTCCCGGGGTCTGAACAACGGACGGTCTTGGGGCTGGCTGGAAACGTTTGCAGTGCCGGAGCGCCGAGAACATTTCCAGCCTCTGGCTGTGGATGGGAAAGCACCAGAAAATGGCTTGAGCGCTGTGCAACGAGACATGCATCTAAGGGAATAGATGCCATCACTCTCAGGGACTGGTGTTTAGTGATGTGAGCAGACAAGCAGGGGCTAGGACTCCTGGGTTTGCTTTCCACTAATTGTCTGTGTAACTCCGTCTCCATGCTTTTGTTTCGCTGCCCATAAAAAGGGAGGATGATAATAATAGTAAATGCCTTGCGTGGGGACTTTGGGGACTCCATCTATAAAGGGCTGTGATCAGGGGCAGTCTCTTGTCACGTATTCATGCAGCTCCGAGCACCCTGGAGCTTCTCGGTGCTAGTGAAATAGTGATGCTGACTGCCACTCCCCTGCTGTGTCCTGTTCCCCCCTCCCACCCTCCAGCTGTGTAAAAAGTGATGGTAAAATGAACTTGGCAGTGAATTCTTGGGAGCAAAACCACAGCCAGGGCTCCTCTTTGCTTCTGCTGGGCTCATCAGCAGCAAGTGCTGAAAGGCATCCTGAATCTCGCTGATGGATCTGGAGGCCGTGCACAGCATGCCCGTAAAAGGTCTGGTCCTCGCAAGGCCGGAGCTGGCAGCCGTGATGCACAGGTCTTTGCCAAGAGCAAGAGGGCAAGAGGCTCTCGGCAGGGCTGAGACTGCTCCCGGGCTGTTTAGCGAGCCCCGTGGCCTGGCAGCCTCCTGTGTTAACTTTGCTGCAGGAGGTGTGCCCTGTCGTATGCTATATGTGCACACTTGGTGCTGTGTGTGCATGGATGGTCCTGGTGCTGCCCCTTGGAGCCTGGAAGGTAGCACAGGGCTGTTCTCTGGTGTGGCCCAGGCATCAAGGGAGACCAAGTCTCCCATCCCCTTCCTGAGCACGTGATGGGGCCGAGCAGGTACGGCAGCGCACGCACTATGGGAACCCAAGCACTGAGGGGCTGCTGCATTTGCTGGGCCAAGGCTGCAGCTAGACGGCTCAAAGCACTTTCAGCAGGCTTTCGGCCAAAACCTCTGGTGGCTCCGATCTGGGGGTAAAACACTGCCGGGTGCTTGGAGGAGAAAATTTGACTTGAACCATCCCAGCACAGCAGCTGTGATGCTGTTAAAAGGCATGAGCTCCTCGTGATGACTGAGAGCCCCAGACATGGAGGGGACCCTACTGTGCTAGGTGCTGTACACAGCGTTGGTCCCTGCCACAGAGAGGTGATGGTTGAAGGGTCTGCGCACACCGTCGTCTCTACCTGTGCAGACAGACCTGACTTAGCTTTAAATGAGGTGGCGTGGGGCTTCCCCGGGGAATCCTGGGGCAGGGGTTGTGTTGGTTTGAATTGGGTCATGCCATCTCAGTAACTTCCCCTTCTCTCTCGCCTGGCCAGGTCCCCAGCCCTTCATTCCAGACTTGGAGGGGGACATCCTCTTCCTGCTGGACAGCTCTGGCAGCGTCTCCTACTACGAGTTCTCCAAGGTCAAGGAGTTCATCAGGGACCTCCTGCGACCCTTCACCTTTGGCCCCCACGACGTCCAGACCAGCATCATCCACATCAGCACGGTGCCCACCATAGAGTTCCCCTTCGACCGGTACCTGTCTAGCGAGGCGGTGCAGCAAGCCATCCGAGGCACCCAGCAGCTCATGGGGGACACCAACACGGGCAAAGCGCTCTCCTTCGCCAAGGAGAAGTTCTTCACGGATGAAGCCGGCTCCAGGCCTGACGTGCCCAAGGTGCTGGTGTGGGTGACAGATGGCTTCTCCACTGATGACATCTCCCCCCCCATGCAGCTCCTGAAAGACATGGGGGTCACGGTCTTCATCGTCAGCACGGGGCGGGGGAACTTCCTGGAGCTCTCGGCAGCTGCCAGCCAACCACCTGAGAAGCACCTGCACTTCGTGGATGTGGACGACCTGCCCATCATCACCAAGGAGCTAAGGGATGCCATCACAGGTACCGCACTCCAGCAGGGTGGGGGAAAGACATGGCTTTTCAGTGGTGGGTGATCATCAGATGGTTCATAGGGTAGGAGAAGTAAAGGTGCAGGTGCCTCTCAGCATCTCTGTAGACCTCTGGCCCACAATGGCAGGGTTGGGACTCTGGGGAAGCTCCCCTTGCTCCCTCCCTGCACTTTTCTTATGATGAGGTGACTCTTCTGGTGCGAAAGAGACCCCAGAAGAGTTAAACCCATTCAGCAGGTTGTCACGCTTCTCCGTTCCTCAAGGAACGCTTGATTCCAAGGTCTGGCGATGACATTAGTTGGTGCTTGGGGCCAACGAGATAAGATAATGATGTGGGTGTCAGGCACTGGGGTAGGTTGATTCATTGATTGGCTGAGAGATGACTTACATTGCACCCCTGGGCAGGTTGTGAACAGCACTGATGGAAGCAGGAACCTCTGTATTTTAAAACCAGGCCCTTACTGCCTGAGCTGGTTTGAACTTGTGGCCCAGCCGCCAAAGGCAAGAGGCAGACCACTGCACCATCGTGGTAGCAAAGGTCTAGGTTTTCAAAACTGTCCAAGCTTTTGAAGATGCAGCCTGTCTCCTAGGTGGATATTGTTACTCATGTAAGCACCAAATCAGTGAGATCTGGGTGCTTTGGAGTTTGGGGAAATCCTTCCGGGAACCTATCTGGCCGCACAGAGTCTCTTCCAGCCCTGCTTTCCCAAGATCTGCACCATTAGGCCCCTAGCAGCTGTTGTGAACTTGGCTGCAGGCCTCAGCACCGTGTGGGATAGCACATGTACTAGACCTCAGCTCCAAGGGACTGGCAGTGCGAGGCTGATGCTCGGCATCTCTATGTGGAGCGGGTCTGAGTCCTCCGCTCTCTGAATTTGCAGATGTCAGGACAGTAGCATGAAACAGTGGGGGGAGACATCCTGTTGACCACCAACAGCAGCTGTCCAGGCTGTTTGGACAGCTGTGTTAATGATCCTGTTTACCTAGACATAGTGTAGACCTCAAGGAGGAAGGGGGACACATAGTTGTCTTCCCCTAGGAGATGGTATCGCCGTGGACTGGCAGCTGTAACACGGGAAACAAGCTGGGACGCGTTCCCTACTGCAGACTGATGACAGCCTGTGCTTGCACTGTACAGATTTGCTCAGGGAAGCTCAAACAAGTTGTCTGGTGCCTTAGAAACCTGCAAGGCTTTCCAGTGAGTCATCCCAGCTACAGGTTGCCAGGGTCCCAACAGCTCCAACCAAGCATGAAAAATGCATTAAAGGCAAGGCCTCTGCTTCCACCCCCTGGGTTAATTGTTAGCCAAGGACTTTGCAGGAGAAGATGAATTGTGAAAATAAAAGGCTGGGGCTTTCAGAGAGGCTGTGGATATGAAGTGCCCAAATCCCTTAGAAAGTGGAGATGTGGGGGTATCTGCTTCCAGCTCTGAAGGTTCCCTAGACACCAATGTAACCATCTGCTTTTTACGCTTTCATTAAACAACTGTGTCCACATGGTAGGAGATGTAAACCAGGTGTGGCCTACTGCATTACATGTGTACTGGGAGCTAAGGATATCCAGGTCGTGTCCTGCCGCTGCCACAGACTCCCCCTGGGACACTGGCCAAGTCACTTAGCTTCGCTGCCCTGGCCATGTCTACGCTGGTGCCATTGGGTTCATCCGGTGTGTGAAGAGGTGTCCTATCTGATCACCCAGGAGTGACAGCAAAAGTGTGTTACAAATACAGCACAGCATGCCAGCTGTGTGCCTCAAATAGAAATGCAGCTACATTGGCACTGCATGCCCACAAAACCCTTTCCCAGTACACTGTACTGGTACAGCTATACTGGCAAACCACGGGTATGGCCTAGATTTCCTTATCTGTAAAGGAGGGATCGTACCGGCCCAGGTAATGCCTGTACAGGAACCCGGAAGCTGGGAAGCACAAAGTATCGCTGCAGGATTCAAATGTGCCTGGGCGTTATCTGGGGTTCATTTGATTTTAAACGGGCAATGCGCAAACACTTCAGCACCTGCTGAATGGCTCACAGCTGTCTTAGGGAGGCACCAGGGGCATGAATAGGCTGTGGGTATGACATGAAACCAAGGTAGCTGGATAGTGCTGGGCACTGCTGCCCGCTTCACATGCTGCCTAGAGTAGATCTGACCTGAGCTCTGCAACCGTGCACCTCTGCCGGTGTCCATGGAGGGATCGAAGTGCTGCCCTTTAGGCCGCTGGTGTCGTCCCGGGAATAATTCCCCAGCGTGGTGGATGCTAGCAGGACCCGGAGCCTAGCAAGAGAAATTCTGATTTGTTTCTCCAGTGCAGTGTTGTAACGTGCTCTGTTAGCCAAGCAGAATGATTTGGAGCCCGATTTGGCTAGCACGGGTCCGGTGAGATGCTTCCTGCCCACACAAGTCAAGGTTTACGTACTGGCACCCAGCCTGCTTTGTTGCAACCGGGGCTAGGAACATTGCTTCGCAGTGGAGACCAAAGGTGATTTAGCTTTTCACCAGCCCCCGCTTGTAAATCATCAAGGAAAGAGACCCAGGTGGCCAAAAACCACAACTAAGCGTCAGGAGAGCAAATTTCCAAAGCAGCGCAGAACGTCTTGTGCACATTTGCATATCGTTAGCCGCACTGCACGTCCCCCTGGCAGCTTTTTATTGCCGTCCACGTGGGTGTTGCCTCCCAACACCTCCAGATTTGTTTGGAAAGCTGAGCCAGTTACTATGGCACTGCGTAGACTTTCCATTCACCGTCCCTGTCTCCGTCTTAGTTGTAAATGAGGCTTTAATTCAGCACTTGGCTCCTGTGGGGCCCGGGGTGGTTGGAGCTGGAGCTGGGCTGGGAGTAGCTAGCTAAGCCCTTGCAGGGGATCCTGTGATGCCGCAGCCTCATGACATATAAAAGCCTTTCTCCTTTGGAAAGCCAAGCCCAATGGCAGAGTGAGCAGGGACCTCCACCTCCCTTCCCCCTGGAGGAACGTGCCCCAGAACGTGCCAGGTGCTGTACACACGCCCGGACTGTCTCTGTTTCTTTCTGCGCTTTCAACCCTTAGCATACATTTGGTTCATGCTTTTCTTTGCATCTATGAGATCCAGAAATGTGTTGGTTTGAGGGCTTTCAATGAAAACGGACCCCAGGAGCTGGGGCCTTTGGAAAAAGAGCCAACACTGATCAAATAGTAGAGCCACCTTTGCCTTCCTTCCCCTGAAGCTGCATGGTCTGTGCCCTGCCTGCCCAGCGGGCATGGGACGGAGGAGCCCAAGCAGGGCCCTGGGCAGGCAGTACGTCCCAAGCACCGCATCCTGTTACCATCACAATCCTGTTGGCGTCTTTTGCCACAAGATACTGATTTTAAAGCCTGCCAGTAGATGCACAAATGAGCCTTGTTAGGAAGTTGGCAGATCTCCTCATCCTGCCCAGGCAAGGACTGGCTTTCATCTCTGCGGGCTGCAAAACGCCCTGCCGACAGTCCCTCGTCTCTCCCTGCAGCCCCAGCCTCAGGTGCAAGCCTGAGCTGGGGAACAACCGATAAAAGGAACAGCTTGCCGCACCCCCGCACCCAGACGCTTTCTCCTGTATCTAATCACTACGCGGTACAGACACATTTCCTTTGCTCTCAGAGGTTGGAGCAGAGATCTAAGCAGGCAAATAATAAAGCTGAGTTAATAGGGCTGTCTCTGGGAGCCGGGCCAGGTGTTCTGTGCCAAGCCAACATGAAAGCCACCACTGAGAGCGGGAAGAGCCGGGGAGGGGGAAGGGTCTTGGTTTGAAACATAGGGGAGCCCCAACCTCCTGATCTCTACTCCCATCGACTCCTTCAGGGGCTGAAGGACAGCGGCTCTCAGCCTCAGTTTTCCCACTTGTAAAATGCTAATGGGTGCATTGCTTGGAGAGCGGCTGGGTGAGCTCAGGGTTGCAAATGGCTTGGCCTGATGTGCTTGCACCAGTGCAGATTGTGAGTCCTCTGGGGTTAGACTCTGCCCTCTGGGGCAGGACATGTTCACCCCTGTACAGCTCCGCTCCTGCTCTGTGCAGGGAGCTCAGGGTCAGACTGGTATAGGGGCACAAGGAGCACGCACCCCCTTTGTACAGAGAGTGCGTGCAGCCTCGCACCCCTGAGCCCTGGATCACACCAGGACAGCACTTCTACCCAGCGGTGGGGCACACAGCAGCCACGCTGCACTCCAGGCTCAGTCCAGCACATCAGGAGACAAAACAAGACCACAGTCCAGATGCTGAGCTGCGGAGAGCAGCTGTGGCTGCTCTGATGTCAGCTAGTCCCGACCCTCCAGGAAAATCTGGGTTTTTTTTAAAGCCGACTCTTCCCTGAAACCTGGGCAGCCCAAAGGCTGCAGTGCCGAGCAGGAAACGTAGCAAAGGTTCATGTCATTCAGACATCATTATTTGTGTGAGCATAGCACCTCGGGGACCCAGCTCGGGACACAGCGTGCTCGGCGCTGCACAAACAGCCCAGCCCCCATGAGCTGTCAATCTGCCGAAAGGAGAGAAGAGATGGATGCAGGCAGGCTGGGTAGGATGAAGGAATCGCCAAACAGTACTGGTCAGCACCCTAACCGTGTCAAGCTGTCCCAGGAGCTGTGGGGAGGGTTTGAGGGAGGGCAGGGAGTGAATCGTGTGCCCATGTAAGAAGTGGGTGATGCAGACTGCAGGTGGCGAGGCTGGAGAGGAGGACGCAGCAGCGATTGAGATACAAGGTGTTGAGACCTGGCCGTACGTGGAGCCTGACTCTCACTTAAACCTGGGTTTTGGAGGACAGGAGGAGACGTGCCCCGTGGCAATCCTGCAGTAGCACCTGGTGCTGGACTGGCTGACCCACCGGTCCTTGTTCCTACCCCTGCTGGCTTCAGAAGAGATGCCCTCCCCTTTGCCCAGTGCCAAGGGGCGGGACTCAGCCTCCTGATGCTTCGGCTGCTGATGCCCCTTTTGAGTCAGGCAGACGGCTGAGCTGCTTTAAGACACCTAGGAGACAAGCGTGGGTTTATCCTCCAGGGGAGGGCCCGGTGGGTGTTTCTCAATCGGAGGATTCCTTTGGGGTGACGTGTGGCACGGCGCCAGCTCCAGCTCCTTGCTCGCGGCTGCCCAGGGTCTGCGCTCTGGAGTAGCTGACATCACGCTTTGGCACCTTCTCCTGGGCTGGGCTCTGCAGGATTGTACATGTCCTACAGGGCCCAAGAGAGGCTGGGGGAACTGGGCTTATTTAATCTGGAGAAGAGAAGACTGAGGGGGGATTTAATAGCTGCCTTCAGCTCCCTGCAGGGTGGGTCCAAAGGGGATGGAGCTGGGCTGCTCTCAGAACAAGGATCAATGGGCTCAAGTTGCAGCAAGGGTGGTTTAAGTTGGATATTAGGAAAAACTTTCTTATGAGGAGGGGGGTTGAGCACTGGAGCAGGTTACCCAGAGAGGTGGTGGACTCTGCATCCTTGGAGGTTTTTAAGACCCAGGTAGGCAAAGCCTTGGTGGGATGATCTAGTTGAGGATGGTCCTGCTTGGAGCGGGGGTTCGGCTACATGCGACCTCCTGAGGTCCCTGCCAACCAAATTTTCGATGGTGCTATGTCCAATAGCAAGGGGGAGCACAGCCAGATGCAGCGCAGGGGCAGGGAGAGCTCAGCCCTCGGCTCCTCGACGGTGTCCCTGGGTGACCAGAGCCATGGGGCAGCCTCCACAGCAGTCCTCAGTAATCAAGAGAAATCATTTCCCCGCCCTCCAATAAGTGTCACCTAGAAATGCGAGAGTGCACCGAGGGAGGGCTGAAGTCAGTCTCCTCCACAACTTGCCTGCAAGAATGGACCGTGACCAGCCAGCATGGTGATGCTGCTCCTTGAGCCCTCCTCCCACCCTTTTCAAAGCACTTTACCTCTGGACCCCAGCTGGAGAAACTGAGGCAGAGACGGATGCCACTGGGCTGGGCTGCTGGCACAGCAAGTGTTCCTGAGCTGCTGATGAAGAGTCCTGCCACTTTGGCTTTGGTCTTCCTGGCACTCGGGAAGTTGCCAGCAGGTCCATGCCACGCAAGTCAGGAGACCCTGGCCGAGACACTTGTGCTGGGACGGTCTCCAGGCCTACGTGGTGCCGAGGAAGGGTGTGGAGAGTGCGGATGGCTGGCAACGTGTTTAACAAGAGGCAGCAGGGGCATGGACGACGTGCAATGTCCCTGCCCAGCTGGACGAGCCAAGAAACAGCTCAGAGGAAAAACTGAGGCTGTCTTCTTGGTGGGAGGCAGCTGGCTGGGGCTCCAGCCACGTGGAGAAGGAAAGCTGGCTTTCTAGATAATGTACAGCACTGAGGTCCCCCTGGCTCTGTCGGGGATTTGCCGTGTGGCTCTGGGCAAGTCACTTGGTTTCCCCACGTCTGAGAGGGCATGGTGGTTTCCCCATGGCACTTTGCCTTGAGGTGGAAGGTGCAATCAATAGGGGATGTCAGGACTCGTGCTGGCTTGCTTCCCGCTGATGCTCTCAAGGTGCTTTTAAAAGGCATTCACAAAAGAGGCCTCACAACTCTTCTGCGTCTTTGTCCCTTGCCACCCGAGTGCTGAGACTAGACCCAGGAGTCCCGGCGCAGCATCGCCTGCTGTAACCGCTCGAGAGTGGGATAGTTAGCGAAGGCTAAGGAAGGAAAATTCTCCTTCACCGGAGCTCCTGCAAGCCTCCCTGGGCTGTCGGGGGAATCTCACGGTGGCTGGCTCTCTCCTGTAATTGTAGAGGTGCAGCCCATAAAGCAGGCTGTGAAGGACTGAGAGGCGTATTAGCTAGATAAACCCAGAGCAAGCCCTGAACAGATAACGGGCATACATTTCTGGCACCATACAGACCAGGAGGGCATCGCCATGGCCAGGAGGGCATTGCCATGATTTTACTTGATTACTGCTGTGGAGGCTGCCCCATGGCTCTGGTCACCCAGGAGGGCATCGCCACGGCCAGGAGGGCATCATTTTCAGTGGAGAAAGGGCCGAGGGGAGGATGGAAGTTCTCCAGGCTTTTATTTCTGGGTAGCAAAGGTCAGTGCTGTGAAGAGGAGGGGTCCCTGGGCGAGATGTCTGGAGATCAGTGTGCCAGGTCCTGCTTGTGTGAAGGGCTCCCAGTGGGTGTCACCCGGGTCAGGGCTTTGGGACTCTCTGGTTTTCTCTGCTGGGGTTGGAGGCTGCATTGCTCAAAGCTGACGGGCAGTAGAGCAGCCTGCCTCCAGGAATAGCCTGTCAGCAGCCCATTAGCAGGGCCCTGTCCAGCCCCACATGCAGCTGTGGTACAATGTGCCCTTCTACCTCTAACAGGGCTCCAAGCCTCAGGAATCCTGGATGGGAGCCTTGCCAGTCCCCAAGGAAAGGCAATGCCAGGATTCGCTTGGCAGGAGCAAAGAAGAAGCCAGCAGGCTAGATGAACCCTGAGCAAGCCCTGAATGGTTAATGGTCACAAATTCCTGGCACTGTCCAGGCCAGGAGGGCATCACCATGGCATCATTCCCAATGGAGGACGGGCTAAGGGGAGGATGGAGGTCTCCAGGGCTTTATTTCTGACAAAGGGGGGAATGAGAGAACTCAGGGGTAGATTTCAGTGAAATGCCCAGGATTGCCCTCAGCACAGTGCAGTCGCATGGATGGTGCCAGGGAAGAGGGCTCTTATGCCAGTGCAGGGGGAGATAGTGCATGGAGGGGCTGTGAGGTCTCCCTCAGTGTGGGTCCTTGCAGGAAGAAGCAGCTGCTTGAGAGCAGGGTATTGTCTGGGTGTGCAACACACCATGAGGCCAGGCTTTGCAATGGGGCTCACAGGAGGTGATGGAGGGTTTGGGCAGAAGGGATCCGTAGTGGTGCAGGGGCAGGGGTTGCAGCCAGGAGCCTGGGGAGCCTCCAACACCGAATGCCATGGGGCAATGGGGCATGCGTGCAGCCCTGAGAGTGACCTCCATGACTGCCTCCCCTTCCCCAACCGGGCAAGGGCTGTGCCGGGGCAGACGCCTTCTCTCCCAGTTGGCCAACTGGGGTCACCCGCCTGTGGCACTGTGCCTAGAGACAGCTGCCAGCGGGACTGGGTTTTTTGCCCCACTCTGTTGCTGACTTGCTGCACGCTAGAGGAGCTTCCAGAGAGATGCAGTCACCTCCGGCTTCCTGGGCTGGGCCCAGCACCGGCTGCACGAGGCAGAGAACACGCCCCGTGCAAAGTGAAAGCAGTCGGTCCCGGGTGGACGATGTGGGCAGGGCTGGAGTTGCCCTAGCAGGCAGTATAGGTGCCAGCCTGGGGCATTAGGTGTGCAGCAATGTTACGGAGCATGAGTGAGGGCAGGGCTGGGAGGCTTGACTCCCCCTTGACTTGCCAAGCGCAGCTCCTGGGTTGCAGGATGCAGCCAAGCCCCACCTGGCAGCCCCACCACCAGCAACTGCCATGAGATGAAGTGTGTGGGTGCTCAGCATGGTTTCCTGTGGGCCAGGGCCCTCTGGCATAGCAGATCACCAGGACAGCTTGCCCTCGGCACAGTGCAGTCGCATGAGTGGTACGAGAAGCCTTTCCTGAGCCAGGTGGCACCAGCCGAGGGGAGGGGGTGTTGGCTGGTGGGTGTTTGGGTCCTAGCTGTTCTTTGCTCTTCCTGTGCATGCTATCAAATAAGGGCCAGCTGGGAGTGGAGACCATCCCTGCCACCCCACGTATCACGTAGTAGAGAGCAGGAGACCATGCAGTCCCGTAGCCAGAGTGCCTCTAGCTGGCGGTCTCCATTGCCCTCTCGTGGAGACACACAGATTTGCCATACACACCCTGACCCATCATTCAGGACACGCTTGTGGCAACAGTGGGGTTTTATTTAGACCTGGTGGGAGTGGTGAAATAATCCACTAGTGTTTCCCTACAAATGCCCGGCCATCACTGCAAGAGTTTGCACCAGCTTCATATTTTGGAGGCTTTCATTGGCTACTGCAATAGCTAAAGAAAAGGACTGGCATCTGCAAACCAGCCCATTGCCTCCATGTGACTTACCCTGCCATGCAGCATTCCTCCTGTGAGCAGTTGCTTTGTTGCACCCCAGAAGCAGCTGCACTGAAGTGGGGCAAATGACCCTGTGAAAGCATCCTTTGTAACATGCTTGGGATTCACTGCAGAGATGCAGTGTGAATTCCAGCTCCTCGGCGGTTGCTAATCATTGCCCAGGGAGCCAGGGATAGCTGTGCTCACCCTCTGGCCCGTGGTGATTTCCTGTCACTCTTTCTCCCCAGAGGTTATCCGAGCCACACGGCTGCGTGCTGTGGACATCACCTCCAGTAGTTTCCGCCTGATGTGGCCCAAGCTTCTCTCCAGCAGTACCGGCTATTACGTGCTGGAGTACACCCCTACAGACGAACCCAGGAGGAAGCTGATGCAGCAGGTGTCCGGGGACCGCACCAGCTTCCTGTTGAGCGACCTCGCCCCAGAAACCACCTACGAGGTTGTGCTCATCCCTGAGTCCAACACGCACTATATCCCACCGCAGACCACCAGGGTCACCACGCTGCAAGGTATTATATGAAGCGGGGGGGGTGTATTGGGGTTCCTAGGTACAACCCAGAAAAGCTTAGTGTCCCGTTGTTCTGGGCATCGTCTGGACAGATGACAGCAGTCCCTGGCCTAGACCTTATAGTGTCGGCAGCAGAGTGGAGAAAGCAGCCTGAAGTGGAAGGCCAGCTCTACCAGCTGAGGCTGCAGTAGGTCCAGTGACCTCTCAAAGAGGTCCCACCAGCAGCAGAAAGGGACATAGCATCACACAGGTGTGTGTTCAGTATCCAGGCAATTGTCCCCATCGTCCTCCAAGGAGCTGAGGACAGTCTTATGTCCTGCATCACCCAGGCCAGCTGGGAGCAGAGAGCAAGAGCTGGCCCTGTTTGAGGAGGGTAGCGAGGGCTGTGGGTGGCTACTTAGAGCTGTGAAAATCATCGCTTGTTTGGCTTGTCCAGTCATTCCCCCTCCAAAAAAAAAAAAAAAAAATCAGTGAAATTGGGCACAATGGAAAAACTGATGGGGAAAATTGCTTGGGGTCAAAAGAAACTTTTCAGGTTCAAGCATATCTTGTGTGTGTTCTGCCTTCGTGATATAAGACGGCTGGAAAATGTTAATTAAAAACACCAGAGGCGGTTTGCCTTTTTTGAATGTTTTTCCCCAACATGAGCATTTGGGCAGAACCGAGGCGGATCTGCCAAATGTTTTGGAGGTGCCAAGTCTCCATTGTTCTCAAAGGGAAAAATACAGAGTTTCTTCTGGTACATTTTCCTCAGCACTTTTGCAGACAGTGACAGGGGATATAAGTGCTCGGAGTCAAGCTGGCAAACACGCCAGGAAGCCAGCTGGGCTCCCAGTATATTACACTGCACTGAATGGAGGAAACTATGCTGCTTTAACATGTCCAGTTGGCTTCCTTTTGCACCTCTCCTGGCAGAGGAAATCAGTCCCACTCGGATTGTCATCTCGGAGTCCACGCCGCACAGCATCCGTGTCAGCTGGTCCCCCACGCCGGACAGCGTGGTCAGCTATCAGGTCCTGTACGGGCCGCTCCCCGGGAATTCAGCCAAGCTTCTGGAGGTGGATGGGAAGCACAACAGCACCGTGTTGGAAAACCTCGCGCCCAACACAACCTACTTGGTGACAGTGGCGGCCATCTATAAGTCAGGGAAGGAGAGAGCCCTGTCGGCCAAAGCGTGCACTCAGGAAGGTGAGTGAGCAGTGTCCCTCTTGTCCCAGCTTTGATTCCACATGGGCTCGATCATGTCGCATGTGGCCCCTAATTCCAAATGGTGGCATAAAGTGGCTCCAAACTCCTGCCACCGGTTGTCCAGACCAGTTGCTGCAGATCCCGTCTCCACCTATTTTGGATTCCCCAACCAACAGCTTTGCAGGCAAAATCAGCATCCTGCTGCAAAGTGGAGGTAGGCCATGGGGAAAGGTCTCAATCAAGAGAGCAGCTTAGTCTGCCCTACTGCCAGGATTGGGGTGGGGTTGGGATCTACTGTGATGCCTCTAAAGGAGAGAGGATTGCAGAGTGAAGAGGTGGGAATGGGATCTCATCAGGGGTCTGTCCCACCGCTGTAGTTTGGTGTCTCTTAGAGTCCCTTATGTGAGGGCAGTCCCATGTATGATGTCCCCGAAACTTTGCTCGTTGTAGGAGGTGATATTCGGCTGTAGTCAGAATGATGGAAGAGTGAGGCATTGCAGAGAAGTGAGATGAGTGGTGGGACGTTGGGATGGAGGGCACCACAGTCCAGCTCCTGATGGACGAGTGTCCGTGACACCAGAACCACTCTCTTGGGTTCAGCGGAGAAGCTAAGGACTGGCTCAGCCCTGGCGATGAGACTGTTCCCCCATGCATAACATGGGTGGAGCCCCTGGAAAGGATGGTACAGGGCAAATCTTGTCCTGGTGCTGGCCAGGCTGCCCTGGTTTTGTTGGTAAATAGAGGCATGAGAGCTGTCAACCCTGCAGTCCTCACCAGTGGTGGAGTCACTAAGGAAGGAAAATGGAGCTAAGAGGGGTAGTTCCCCAGGAGCAAGCCTCAGTAACATGATCTTCTTGCCCTCTCCCATGGTTAGAGGGCTTCAAGGTGAAGCACTTGCGCTTTGAAGACATGGGCCCCAACACCCTGAAGGCATCCTGGGACTCTGCTGATGGGAAAGTCCTTGGCTACCGCGTGAGGTGCCGGCGGCAGACGGGCCCCTCGTCTCTCATCAGCGTCTCGCCTCAGGTCCACAGTGTGCTCCTGACAGACCTGGCCGCAGGCACCACCAACAAAGTGTGTGTGAAACCCGTGTACAAGGACCAGGCGGGGAAGGGGCTGTGCCGCATGGTGCACATGCAGCCTGGTGAGTCGGGGACAGGGCATGGGGAGCTTTCTGATGCGCAGACCCGGAGCACCCTTCCCAATATCCAGTGCCATGGAGTCTCTGCTTGTGGGACCCCATAGGCCACCAGTAACCCAATGTCCAGTGGCTGCTGGCATGCCACAGTCTACGCTGGTGAAAGCCATGACTGCAGTGGGATAGAAGTGGCTGGATTTCATAGGTGCTCAGCACCTACAGCTACCCATTGACTCAGATGGCATCTGCGGTCTAGGGTTTGAGACCCCTTTCAATGACTGATGTTTCAGAGGGTGGGTGCTTTGGACAACCAAGCCTTTTTTGCCCAGAGGTTAAGTCAGTAGTAGCCCCATTGCACATACACTAGCATATCTAGAAGTCGCTGATGGTTCAGCATTGAAATCTTCTCCCAGGGTGCAGGGGCCTGACCCAGAACTGCCTGAAACCCTTGGGAATGTTTTCACCTGCTCAAGCAGACCCTGTATCTGGCCCTAATACCCACTAAAAGCCTGGGGGCTGGGGTTACAACTGAACTCCACTGCGAAGCGGAGCGGGGCTGCTCTGTAAGGGGCTTGAAGGGAGGACTGGAGACCCAGGGCTTGAGGCAGTGGGAGGGATGTTGGTATAGGGAAAAGCTTGCAGAAGGGGCTGATGGGCTCAGTGTGATGGTAGAGGAGGAGGATCCAATCCTGAATGGGCAGGAGTGAGTTGGGAAGCATCTGAGATGAGATGAGGGGCTGGCATGAGGGTTCTGGCTTTGGGGAAGGATAGGAAAGGGCAGAGGCTGGACATTACCTGCCCAGGCCAGGGCCAGAGATACCCCCAGGTAAGGTCCGTCAGAGCTGCAAACCCTCTACCGCTTTGTCCTTACCAGCCCAGCTGACCTTCTGTCTCATGTCCTTTCCAGCTACAGAAGCACAAGGATACACGCGCAGGCAGAGAGCGTGATGGACCCTGGACTGCACCGTTCCCCTGCAGAGCAAGGGGAAACGATCAGACAAGAATGACTGTGCATGGTGGAGCCCCACACGTCGCTCCCCTCCTGCACTGTCCCTCGAGGTGTCAGCCCCCCTAGCTGTAGCCAAGCCCAGCGGGCTCCTGAAACTGTAAAGCACTCCCATATCTTACAAAGCGGCTCGGCAGGACAGAGCAAGCAGGCTGGTGGATGGATTCGAACCATGCAGTGCTCTGGTTAAACAATGTGCTAGCCCCCGTCCCCTTTCTTCTGTATGAATTAGCAATGCAAAAGAGAAGCAGGGAATCCTCATTATTGTTCACTTGCTTCCTGGTTTCTATTTATTATCTCTTGTGTCTTCATTATGGCAGAGTATAAGCATGTTCCAGGTTCTATAAGCGAAGACCTGGCCTTTCAGCTCTCGGCATTGGGGTCCAAGATGCCACGAGCTAAATTAGTCTCCAGTATGGAGCTCCACGGATGGGGCTGGAGTGCATCAGGGGCTGAATAGCATCCATGAGCTCAGCAGGTTTGGGGTGCAGGCAGTGTCCTTGTCATGGGAACTAGGATCACACCAGGCAAAATGATGACTGCCACAATAAATAGCTCTTTTTATCCATGCATTACAACAGAGCCCATATTAGCCATCAAATGCAACCACCTCTGGGGTGGAAGGTGGAAAAAACCAGCAATATAACACAGCAGTTCAGAGTGCACAGGGAAAACCCAGCTAAAACCATGAGGTCTTGAGGAAGAGGGAAGAAGAGAAGCAATTGCCCACCCAGGGTTCAGTGGCTGAGTCACTGATCAGTCAACACCTTGACTCTGATGTAATGTGCTGGGGGAGGCGTTATGACCACAGGTAGTTCAGAGATGGTCCCATGTCTGATTCAGGAGACTGGTGCTCTGCTTGGTGAACGCTGAGGTATGGAGCAGTAGGGTTGTTCCAGGGCAAGGGTGTGGGCAGGGGCCAAACACTGGCAGGGAGGCCTCCATGGTCCCTGTCTGTTGAAGTCTTAGCTTGAGCGCCCATGGATTTGACCACTCCCTTCCATGGATGCCAAGTTTAGCCCAGGAGATTAAATAAAAATAGAGGACAGCCTTGGATGGTCTGCAGGGTTTTCATTCCAGACCCTTCCCCAGTGCCACAGGCACATGCTGCCTTGTTGCTGCCTTGTCCTGGTTTCCTGCTCTGCTCCACAGCCTGTGCCGCATTTAAAAGAGGTGATTATGGAAGCAAAAATCCTAGATCTTTTCTGTGGCCCAGCTCAGTTGCTTTCAGGATGGGGAGGTGTGTTTGCAAGAGGCTGCCAGCGATTATCTAAGTACCTTAGTGCAAAGGCCATTTTATTGGTTCAGGTCCCCCCTCTAAAGCAGAGGGTCATAAGAGGATGTACATACTCCTCTGGTGGCCACAGGCATGCCAATGTGCATATATTCCCCTAGGGATGCTTGCTCCATTGCGTATGTAAAGCTTACTTCACCTTCCTGGGATACATTTTAGAGTTGTGCCGTATGTTTGGAAAGACATATGCCCTGCAAGCCCTCCCTGGGCCTGATCCCGTTCCATCTGAGTCAGAGGAAGCTTTGCTCTTGATCTGATTGAGTCTTATTTGTGCTGAGCTCTTACGTTGGCTTGTAGGCTTCAACCTCATGCTGACCCTTTGCAGAGAGGCAAATGTCTCTGTTGGCTCCAGTGGAAGAGGTTAAAGGACCCCGGTGTCTCTTTTAGGATGTGCATATTTAATCACAAGTAATGCAGACAGAGGTTCTGCCCGCATCCAGGGAAGGATGCAGCCTCCTGAAGCTTTCATGCTCTGAGATGTAAGAGCATCTTGTTCATTCCTACTGTTAAGATGGAGACTGCTTACATTTGCACAACTCCCTAATGTACTAACGTGTTAACATTGCTTCCCCTCCAGTGTAACATGTCCTTTTGAAGGCAGTAAATTAAATATACAACATGAGGGCTGTCGAGTCGGAACGCGTCTTTCCTCCTGGATTATAATGCGGGAAATGTATATAAAAACGTGACTTCTGTTCCAATGAGAGCTACAGGTAGAAACGCTGGGATTCCTCTGAATTAGAAGGGACTGAAGAATAATCCTTTCCATCCACATCTTTATGGCAGGTAGATGTGGGAACAGTTTACCAAAGGAATATTCAAGATGGAGCATACTGGAAGGAACCCCTTTCTGTCCACGAAAGTATGTACTAAGTGGGATAAAGTACTATATTAAGATGCCACGTAACTCAGTGTAATTGAGAAAGTATTGTCGGTGAATTTTAAATGGTGTGTATCAGCATAACTTCAGCAGAGCTCCCCCACTTCCCACTAGCTATCTAGCTCCTTAGTTTTCTAAGGGCAGAAGCTGTATATTCTCAAACTTTTGGCCGGGTGCTCACATACCGCGCGGAGGGAAGCGTTAGGAATGCCTAGATAAGATTTGTAACGACTTTCAGAATTTATTTCACCGCCACAAGGATCGGTGGTAACGCAGCTTACAAACACTTTCCTGCACATCCTGAATAATAGCTTTGGACATGTTTTTAATCTCTGGGATGTTCCTGCAGATGATATATTGGGGTATGCATATCTTTTAGACAAGGGAGACCAACGGGGATTGAGGCAGTGTTCAGCTGTAGCAGCGCCTCCACTTTAAATGCCTTTGGATCAAATACAGTCAGGTTTGGCTGTCTAGATAAATGGCTATATGGCCCAAGAGCTGCCAGATTCAGCCATGGTGAGATGGTTAAGTCAAGCTCTGATTAAGGGGGCTAGACAGAAATGTCCTGTAGAGGCAGGTGATTCTGTAGTTGCCCACGTGAGGGTCCTTGAAGCCTCTGGGTTGCCTGCAATTGGAGACTGCATTCGGTGTGCTAGTGCAATCTGACATGGCAGTTTCTATGTCCCTGTGCAATGCAGACACCCCTGCCTGCCTCTGCAAAGACTTTGTGGGTCTTCTGAACAAAGCAAATGCTGCTCCATGAGGAATGTGACTGGAACCTCCTCATTTCATCTGCTGAACAGGTTACGCTCTCTGCAGGGAATGACCAGGCCCCAGCTCCAGATCTTTGCAACAGCGATTCATCTCAGACCCTTCCCCAGTGCCACAGTTGCTGCCTTGTCCTGGTCTCCTGCTCTGCTCCACAGCCTGTGCTGCATTTAAAAGAGGTGATTATGGAAGCAAAAATCCTAGATCTTTGCTGGGGGTGGGACGATTCCTTTAGCTCAGAATAAACTGCTGCTTTGGGGCAAATTCTGCTTCAGCTCTCACCCTAGCACCCCAGGCTCACCTATACTTCAAAGCAAAACTTTATCTGACTTCCATATGTAAGCTATTGTCTCACAGCAGCCAGGAAGTCACATTTGCAAACAGTGACTCTCCCATGGGGATACCGAACTCCCTGAGCCAGGACATTGTGAAGTAGATGCCAGCTCCTTCTGCTGAGTTCAGCAGAGTTATGCTCATTTCCAGTGAGAAGCATGTAACGTGAAGCGGTGGAGACAAAAGGGTTAAAGGAGGGAGCATCTGTTGTCACCGGTCAGAAGAGAATAGTTTCGTGAGGTATAAGCACTAAGCTGATTCCCACAGGCCAGGGTGGGAAGCGTCCATCCTGCCGGAAAACATTCTGAGAATAACATTGGGGATGAAAGACTCCCAAGAGCAATGATATTTGGCCAAGACTTGTCCCGTTCCCTTTGTGCTGACTGATATGATGCTGTCTGTCCTCTTGCTGCTGCTAAGGGTGCGTGCAGTACAGCGAAGGGTAATGGCTTGGCAGCAACACTTGCTTGTGATCCTACACAAAGGACGTTATTACAACCTGCCCTTGAAAGTCCTAGGAGGCCTTTACAGTGCCAAGCTGACTTTTCAGGGCTCACAGAAAGAAAACTTTTGCTGTGAGTTACCAGCTGAGCCGGGAAAATCAGCAGGTGCAATGTGAAGGTGATGCCATAGACTCTGGGCTGTTTGAATGAAACCACTGGAGATGCACGTGGACTGCAGAGTGTGGCTCCATGCCACTGGTCACTGCTGAGCATTGCTGCACTTCATGTGGTTGAGTGCAACCTATAAGTGGCTTGTAGGAACAGAGGCTACAAGGCATGTGTGCGCTGGGTGGGACTTCAAAAGCATCTAGAGGACCCGTGGGGCCATATCCCATGGAAAGTCAGGGAGAGTCAAGTATCTAACTCTTACAGGCTCTTTTAGAGCTCTTTAATGCCTCATCTTTCAAGAACCAGCAAAATCCAAACCACTGGGCTGTTGGTTATTCATGAGGTAGAATCTGTAATATTTATTAATAAACCAAGTTTCTCATTTACACAGAATCTCTATAAAAAAGTTGATACAAAGAGAGAACAATTACAATTTAAAAGGTAAGAGCAGGTTTAAAGGCTAGTGAGACTAAAGAGAGAGAACCATTTCTGGTCAAAGAAGCAATGGGCCGCATTTTCAAATAAAGCTGCCTAATGTTAAGCACATACATTACTACTTAGGCAACCGGATGGGTTAGAAAACATTGGCCGATGTATATTTATAGAGACTACCATAACGTCAGTCACCCTTTGGGGTCACCAAAACTCCTCGGCTGAAATCCCACTTCCATGGAGGTCAGTTGGAGTTTTGCCGTTCGCATCAGGGGGACCAGGTTTTTATAATCAGTGCCTTCCTTCCTAATGCTTTAGTAAGGAAAATCTTACGCCCCACATATAGGTATGAATCCCTGTATCTCAGACTCTGCGGGACAACCCATCACTCAAATAAGTGACAATAAGGCCTTGGCTGCGTGCAGGCCTCTTCTTCCATCAATCATTCGATAGGATGCTAACTGTTGTCACCCACCCTTTATGAACAAAGTGACCATGGTACAGAAAGACAAAGTGACTTGCTTATGATCACGTGGTCAGGAAGTGCTGGGGGTGGGAGAGAAATGAGCTACCTTGATCCTCCATCCCCATGCTCTAGCTGATAAGGTAAGGACATTCACTTTCCCCTATAGCTGCTGTAGCTTTAAAGAGGCTGTTTGTCGGGTAATTTCGTTCACTGTGAGTCTCGTGTGGGGGGGTTTAAGTTTCATAAAACCTGCCAGAAATGCTTGGGGTTTTTTCATTTGAATTAAAGTTTAATTTCTTGTGGTTAAGCTCTAAGCTCCCAGCAGCATGATCCTAATGCAGGAGCCCCAGCACGTGAAATGTGAAAAGTAAATCAGGATAAACAGCAAAAGAGTAAATTTAATTCTAAAAAAATGTCAGCTTCTGTAATGGTTCCATTAGGAAAAAAGAAGTGATGTATAATTCAACGCGGTATCTTTCCAGACTGCACATGACAGATCAATGCAGCTGAAAATGAATCTGAGTGGGGTTTAACAGGGTAACTATATTCTCAATAGTTCTGTAACTTTCCTGGAGACTCCAACTGCCTGGTTAAACCCCTGACTTTCCCAGGAGAAGGACACAGTAATAATAGCAGTTACTGATTTTTCAGCAGTGGGCAATACCCATTTGTTTATGTCAGACCAAATGAGCTGGAGAGAGACTCTGTTGCAACCTTATTTTTTATTTTTTTATTTTTTTCTTAAGCCCTACTGGCCTCGTGAAATCACCTCTCGTTCCCAGCTCCCCCTCCATAATAATTCAAGTTTTGCCATGGGTGTAGCAAATAAGTTATCAGTGCTGGAGAAATGAAGTGCCCCCTGTATTCCCACTGCCCTTGCTAGCCGTGTTTAGTGGCAACAGAGTTTTATTAAAGCAATCAATATGTCCTAAGACCTCCTGATGGAAAATTACAAATGTTAATCAGGGTGCTGCTGTTCAAATAGATTAACTTGCGCTGGTTAGGGAATAGAGATGGCTTGGCCTCGGGGTGTCTCCTCAGAAACTGTGGAAATCATGGGTATTGCAAACTAAAATGTTATACCATTGTTTTGGTTTCCAGAACTGCATGCGCTGCACTGTGAGATCCTGCAGTATGGAAATGCTCACACTTAAATGTGACCACTGAAAGCAGCAGAGCTTTAGATCCTCCACTCGTCAGCAGTTAATTACAGAAAGACTTAAAGGCAAAACAAAGCCACCTGCAAAAAAGTCATAGGGACTTCATTAGGGCTGCACTTTGGAGGAAACAATCATTTAAAAGGAGGGAGCCCACAGGCAGGAGGGCCGAATGAATGGTACTGCAACATTTGCAAGCACAGTGGAGCCAAGGCATGCTGTACTCTGAACTTTTCATCATCTCTGGCTGTAAGATTTGACAAACGGGGCTTTAGGTCGGCTTCCAATGTCTATGTTAACAGATCAATCCTTCCCATTGCATTGCTGTCCTCTTCCTGTGTTTCCATCCCCATACCCTCCTCCTTGGTTTTTTGGGGCGCTGCAAGTAAGCTGAGTAGGGGTGATTTGTACAGGGAAATTCCCTCCTGGGCAGAGAATGAGCACATAGATCTTTGTTGATCTATAGACAGAGGTAGATAAGAGCATTGGTGATGTAGTTTGCTATCATTCATGCTAACATACCACTTTCAGTATTGAAGACAACAGAGTTCCTCCAAGGATGGAAATGGTCGGTGGATTACTGGGGTGGAAGAACACCCCTTCCTGCCACCTTGTTACCTCTCCTCCAAGCATAGCATACAAACTTCCTGGAATATGCAACCCCCAAGTCTCTCTTTCACTGGCATGGGTTAGTGCCGGGGATGTTAGCTCTTATTAGAGAGAAGCCAAGTGTGTGGGTTTCGAATGTTCTTGGAACTCCTTGGATGCTGACTCCAGTTCTCGCCTATAGTTATACATGGACTGGAAGTCCTGGCTGCTCCTCAGCAACTGGTTATTCTTGTGGGCTTCGTAGTGGAACTGGGAGCTTTTCATCTCGTACCTAGAGAACAGAAGCACTGGTACTGAGCAAGCTGAGAAGGGAATAGGAGCCATCAAGAACAGGTAACTCAAAAATGAATCTTCTCCAACCTTTCATTGTCACGTGGAGCCCTCCCCACACCCGCAATTCCTCCAAGCCCATTCTGAGTCAGGCCAGCAGAGAATTCATACAAGAGGCGCTAACTTTTCTATCTCGGATTGTTTGCCCAGTCTACAAAAGAAGGTCTAACCTCAATGCTAAATATCCACGTGCTGAGAATCATCCCCTCCAGAGCCTGATGTCACACTGATGGAGGCCCTATGACTCCTGGGGTGGGGATGCAGGTGAGTCATTTCAGCTAAGGCTGAGTAGAACTGTAAAAAGTGAACTGCTTTCACTGGTTAAAGAAAGTACACAATGTCTACAAGCAGCCTCGGCACACTCTCCTTCTGCCTTTACTCCCACCAGACTGGAATCTCTTTAGCAAACACTGATTTCCTCCTCTCAGGACTTGCCCTCTTGTGTTTCCCAGGGAGCACAAGATCAAAGTCTCTGGTTGCATTCTGAGAGGTTGATTATTGGTGCCTTGGTTTCTTGGGTTGGAAGCTAGCTTTATACTCCCTCTGCTGGTTAAGCAGCTGCTCCTACAGCAGTTAAATAAAAGCTGGGAGTTACAGTTTTGAGCATATGGTGCCAACAGGCACCTATAAAATGCGCCTGCATTTTGCCTGTCTGCACTGCCCAAAACTTGGCTTTGCATGCACAAGTCTCTTGGCTGCATCTGTATATGTGCTTTGCAGGTGTGTCCCAGAGGCCAAGTCAGACAGCTCAGTCCTGAGTCAATCAGTGGGACTGCTAAGGTTGTGCTGGGTGATGTGTTTTTGGAGCACTGCTGGGAAGCAAGGTTATATATGCAATAGCAGCCAGGGAGCCTTAGACCCAAGGGCTCCTCTCTCCCATGCAGAAACCCACTGCAAAGCCCAGACCCTTGACCTGTCTAGCTAGCCAAGGATCAGAACTTACCACTTGGGCTTGGGGCCACGCGTTCGTTCCAACTCCTGCTGCCTCTTTAGCTCCAGTAACCATTCCTCCTCCATACGCAGGCGCTCCAGCCGGAGGCGCACCAGCTCCTTCTCATACGGGGACATTTCTATCAGGGACCTCCCCACAGCACCTTCTGCAAGAGTCTGCAAAAACCTGATAAACCAGGCCCTTTGGTTTTCAGTACTGTCTTGTTGCTGGGACAGTTCAAAGCATCCTCCACGCTACAGCCTACAGTTCTAAAAGTGACTAGTCTGGTTGGTTTTGAGCACTCATCAGGGCTGCTACACCAAAGTGCCTGATATTTCCAAGACTCAGCACCTTCTCAAAACTAGGCCCCTTTCAGGTGTTCCAGACTGTAAAATCTTAACCAAATTGAGTACCCATTTCCCCAGATGAGAGTAAGAAGCAAAACAGAGTGAGGTGGGGGGATATCTGTCTCTTGATGTTGGGGGGCTGTTTGGAAGAGACGGCTGGAAGAATGGCCCCTATCCTGGGCTCGGATTAAAGTTGTGGTGCATTTTCTAGCAGGGAGGTGTATGTTTCTGAGTGATAAAAGACATATCACATTGGATCTGGTGACTTTTTATTTACATGGCTGTGTGCTAGGTCTCTTGTACACAACACAAGCTTAACTCATAGGAATGTACCCAGTGTAATGCCTTTCTACACTAATACTTGGGCCTCGCTCTAAGGCAATGACATCCTTATAATTACTGCCTTCTACAAATAAAGCAAGGAATGTTCACCTTCAGTGACGCAGGTGACAGCATCACATGAGGGGCACTGTTATGTTAAAATCAAAAGTCAAGTTTTGATTTCATCTTCATCTACAAACTACAGGCCTGATTCAAATTTGCTTTAAGTCCATCAATCATCTCCCAGTGGCTTTGGTGAGAGTTGTACCAAGCCCCAAAGTAACCAATCAACACCCTGTATCCTGGGAACATAACCAGTGTGGCACACAATGCAGTTATCTGGGCTGATACCAACTGCAGGACGTTCCAACTTCAGTAAGATGTTCTGGGCTTATACCAAAAGGAAGATCCCACAGAAAGCTTCCTTTCCCCCCAGTAAGTGGCTTCTTACCTTTCATTGATCTCCTGAGCTGTGGGTGAGACTATAGCAGCAGAGGACAGACTGTAAGGGCTCCACGAAGAGCTCAGTGCCTTTGTAGGCATCCTGCCCGGAGTGCAGGACCTGGCCGCCAGCGCTCCTGGTTTGTATATTCTGGAGCGGGATTGCCTGGTTGCTGCTGTTTTCTTCCTGCTGCCCCTGGACCTGCTGAAGTGCGGTGCAGGCTGGGCACAGGCATTTGCCTTGGCTGAGTTTGGTCTCCAGATAGGTCTCGGGGACTGTGAGCGAGATCGGAGCCAGCGGGTTCTTTTGGATGCTGGAGAAAATGAATGGGACCGGTTGGTCCTCAAGCGATCAAAGGAGAGAGACCTGCCTCTGTCCAAGGGAGAAGTGACCCTTTCGGGTGAGCGGGCCCTCACTGGGATTTTAGGGGACAACAAGGCCTTGACTCCTATCACGTGAGGAGCACCAAGCTTTGCTGGAAATGGTTCTGCAGATGCTAGATCCACAGACGGCAGACAGTTCCTGCTTGCTATCTCACTCCCGAGGAGCCCTGCCACACGGCTGACTGGTGACGTGGAGAACATTGGAAGGCCTAGGCTCGCAAGTGCTGGATAGTCTCCCAGAGGTCTGACCAAATGCGTTGGCTTTAGAAACCACTCAGACTCATCAGGCTGCTTCAGTGTGTCTCCAGTGTCTGCCTTCGTGTAGGCCCCATTGTGAATCATCGGCCACTTCGGATTAAAGGGACTTGACCCATCTGCAGTGCCAGAATCTAGGGTATAATCTTGATCTGCGTCAAAACTCAGACTGGAGGCCAAACTGTCCACCTGAACTTTAAGTTGTCGTAAACTTTCTTCTAAGTCATCGATGGTGGGACTCTCCCTCATATAGGGAGAAAAACGAGTTTCTAGGGAGGGAAAAAGTGCAGGTGTTCAGAAAGTGCGCGGAAAAATACTTGTTGATTGTTTCTAATTATCGGTTACTATTGGTTGTGTACTATTAGTGGTGTGGAAATGTTAATAGTAATGCTCTGTACTTGTATAGCTCTTTCTGATAGGGGCCCTCACAACACTTCACAAACTATAATTCACCATTCCGCTGGAAGAGAAGAATTATCCTACAGGTTATGTGTGTTGTTGCACCTGGCTCTATCCTGACAGGCAGGTATTATACAATACATCATAAATATGGCAGTCATGGATAAGTACTGACACCATGAGAATTAACGGAGAAATCTAAATGAGAAGTGAATGTGGTGGCTTGGCATCACTGTCATTTTAAAGCATAATTTCAGGACAACCAACTGTGTATTTCACTAGGATTCCAAAGGATCCCTAACACTTTACGTGCAATGGGACCAATGTAGACCACAGTTACTGCTATGTGTAGCATTTACGACTGTAAGGGTGCATCTACATGTGTGCTTTACTGAGGAGTAGATTAATTGGCTCTACAGTAAAGTGTCACAATCTACACATGCGACAGTATTACGGCACAGTACATTAACTCTGTCATAAGATAATACTGTCCGAGACAGAGTAATACTGTCAGAGACAGTACTATCTTAACGGCAGAGTAATTTACTGCACTGAAATGCACATGTGGACACTGACTGCGGGCATAAATTGCACCTGGTCAGCCCAGCTGGGGGCCTGCTCCACCCTGGCTCAAATTGCTGCTGTCCTGGGTGCATGTGTAGATGCTATGCCCAGGAGCAGTTTCCTCTGGCTCAAACAGTGCCGGAGTGTATTGCATCGCATTAACTGCATGTGTAGATGCACCCTGAGTGGTACTAGCTTCTCTTTCTGGCAACCACTAGGCTCAACAGTCAGCATTTGCAGAATCAGCTGTAGGTGCCTATTGCACCACTGAATACAGCCACCTTTGTGTCAGCCTGTTGGGGTTTGAATGTGTCATTCCAGAGAACCCAGCTTTGAGTTGTGAACCACTACCAGCACCACCTGCTTCCTGGAAATATACTTATTCTCATAGGTACATAAAAAAGAGAAACTTCAAATAAGTTAACATTATGCTCCAACTTTTAAATCCTCTGGTAAAACAAGCAGGCTTTCGTTTTGGCTTGCAAAGAACTTTATATTTTGTGCGTGCCTGTTGACGTCAGAGATGTGCAAATACCACCAATTTTCCTTTCAACATGAATCTTCTACTGCTTGAACAAAATGGACTTTAATCCCCTGACACTGACGTTGTTTGGCACAGTTGGCTTCAATGCACTTATTCCTGATTTTACTCTAAAATAAGAAGGCAGCGTGCCTTTCCTAGATGATAAATCGTGCTATATAAAAAGACAGTTGCCAAGGCTAAAGCAGTAACTTTACTATGACAATTCATATCTCATCCTACCAATTTCTCCTTTAAATAACGAAGATCCTTCCCAGTCTCTGGGCTGTGTCCAGCTCTTCTGCAGTTCTTGGAGGCTCAGGTGATGAGTAGTGGTGGCTTTCTGCGTGTCGCTAAGGAATTCATTTGGCTTTTCTCTATCAAGGAAAGACAAAGTCTATTAGTGCTGAAAGTTTTTGTTATGCAAAACTCTAGAACTGTTGGTTTAGAGATGATACCTTTTATTAGACCAACTGAGAATTAGACCAAGGTTATTAAACCAACTGAGAAAGGTTTTGTTAAATGTAGTAATATGCTCCATTCATGTGAGTTATACTGAAACCAAGGGAAAGTGTCCACCAGGATGTGCTAAACTCAGCTATAAAACGTGTTTGCTCCAGGCTCTAGCAATGACAGCCTCCAAAATCCTCCTGCCCCAGAAACAGGTTGCTATGGATGAAAGCCATTGGCTCTGTGGAAACCAAGAATCAGAAACGGACTTGAATTTTGCCCTGCCGCACCCATGCAAACAGGCAGGGCTTTGCCCAAGTCCGTGGAGTGAGAAGGGTGAAAACCCAGCTCTGAGAGAGCCGGTTCAGGCCTCGTGACACAATCTTGTGTTGCCTTCATTTCTGTGCTCTGTAAATACACTCATGGGTGCAAAAGGCGGCTCGTCACGGCTCAGGCACCTGTGTGACGTGCAAGGGGATCAATCCTGTGGGAAGCACGAGGGATGTGACACTGGGGCAGCCTGCAGAGAGGCGGAGGAGCTGCATCAATGCAGTGTGCGGCCGCTGTTACACTGTAAGTGCCGGTTGCACCTCAGCCTGGAGCAAAACCACGCCAGCTGTTACCTTGCCCCGACGGGGGCACAGACTTTACTTATGCTGCTCCAGGCTCGTGTGCAGGAAACACGTCCAGTGCAACAGCTGCTGCAGGCTCCCAGGCGCAGCTCTGCCATGAATGATGAAGCTGCTACATGCACAGGATTGCCCGTACCCGGAGAGGGGAGGCAAACTGACCCTGGCCCTTCAGTGGGTAGTGGCAGGGTCAGGTGGCAAGTCTCAAATCCCAGATGTTCCCCCCTCCAAACTCATGCTCTCATGCGGGTGCGTGTGTACGTTGTGTGCACCCAGCTCCCCACTTCCACGGGGCACGGGCAGGGCAAGGAGCCGTATTGCCTTGCACACAGCACACACCGATCCCCCCACCCCAGAAACCAGCTGATGGAAATTTGCACTGCACATTATATGTGAGAAATACGGTAAGAGAGGTTTCCTTGCTTCGCAAACAGGGTGGGGACTGTATATAGGTGAAGAAATACTTGAGAAAATATGGTAATCCAGGTGCTGGGCTCCGCCCCCTGCAGGGATCTGCGCCTTCCCATTGTATACTGGGGCGTTTATATGCAAAGAAATACAGTACTTAAGGAAAACAGGTAGTTGAGAAAATACGGTAATTGAGGTGCCAGGCTCTTCCCCCCCCCCCCCCCCCCCTTGCTCTGTGCCCCCCATTGTATATGGAAGCGTTTATATGCAAACAAATATGGTACTTGAGCAAATACGGTACTTGAAGAAATACGGTAATTGAAAAAATACGGTAATCGAGGTGCTGCGCTCCCCGCCTCCCCCCCCACCCCACGCGAGGATCTGTAGCTTCCCATTGTATACTGGGGGGGTTATATGCGAAGAAATACGGTACGGGAGGAAATACGGTAATTGGGAAAATACGGTAATCGAGGGGCTGGGGTCCCCACCCGCCGCGCCCCCACAACCCCCTCTCCCCCATC